TTCCAAAACTTTAGATATAATAGCCAGAAGATCAATTAATGCATCATTCTATCTTTTTAAAATCATGACCACAAAAGAACAAAACAAAAAATAAATAAAATAAAATAAAATTTGTTGAGTCATTATTGATCTTACTTCATTGGATACTAACCCTTTTCTAAAACATATAAAAACTATATAGTGAGCTAACACTTAGTATGTTAACAGAACAACAATTGTAAGTGATGCATGATAATAAAAAGTAATATGCATGTAATCATTCAATCAATATCAGTATAAACATATAAATGTAAAAGTATGTAGCGGTCAATGTGGGCATTGTCATCTTATATGGGTAATGAAAACTAATTAAAGCAATGTGATTCATAAATAGTGATCAATAGACATATAAAGGATTAATACACTATATCATTTCTTATTAAAAATCATTTATATTTTATTTTATATAAATAAGGTTATCTGTCATTGGTTGAATACTCATTATGTTATATATATCATATGTATGTACATTATTATTACTATCAATGAAATGTATTATGTATTAGTATCATCAATTATATCAACCTATCTACAGTTTCATATGCTGGTCTACGTATGCCTGTCGTATAACATCAATATCATTGTATATTATGTATGCCCTACTATACATCTTATTAGTCATATCATTACCTATATCAGTCATTTTCTATATCATGCATATACCATATATCATGTCACTTATACAACTTATTATGTATACTCATGACATATGCATATGCAAGCAAGATAAGACACTTAACTATACTTGGTATTTTTCCTGTATCAGGTCCTATACGCCAACCCTACAAGAATTAGTCTTAATTATATTAGTAATGTTGTTAAGAATTAGTCTCATATCATATGTCACAAGTTGAGTGTATTTCATGCTAGAAGTTGTCACTTTTTGCCCATTGGCATGTCATATCATATCAATCAGTCTCCTTATACCTCTTTTTTTCATATCATTTAAGATTACATTACAAACCTTATTTAAAGGAAAACTCATCAGCTCACCCTCCTATATAAGATAACATTTATCTTGCTAAATTGAATCAGTCAATTATTTCTAGCCAACATTTCTTGCCTTTACACAAATCTCACATTATATAGATCATGATAGAAAACATCGTTATATACATAATGAAATTATCACTATACTCATCAATAAGTATGTAATATACCAAAAAATGTATGTTTGGTTAAATAAATAGTAAATATATGTATATTGTGTATTTTATATCTAAATATAGTATACTGATTCATGATCAATTTATACTTAATATTATACTACTCATTTCAAATAAAATGTTGTATAAATAAAAGCACCTGGTGAAATTTTAATATTAATCATTTAAAATATTTAGGTTAATAATATATACTGCATATCAAAAGTTACATAGTGAAAAATCATTAAAATAAGATATGTTATATTTTTAGTAATTTAAGGAAGATGAAAAATAAGCAAAACACAAAATAATTGAAAATAGATGAAGGGTTAGGGTTACCTATCACAATCAGAATACTTTTCCCAATTGGAGCGATGAAAAATATTGGCCTGATCCTATCTTATCCCTCCTCTTTTCTCCTACTCTCTCTTCATTTATGTCCTTTTCTCTACCTTCTCTTATTGGCCAAAAAGAATAAGAAGGAGATAGGGGTGAGGTGAGGGTTCTCGAAAAATTATTTTAGTTATTTTTATTTAAGAAAAATAAGTTCTTAGACCTAGTAATTTAGTGCTCTAGACTCAATGTCACAACGATTACCATTTGAGATCACAGTGCCATATTGTTAGTTTATTTTTGAATAATTTGTTGGAGAGCTCAATGCCACAGTGCTATCTACCCAGGATTGCGATGCTCAATCATCCATTTTTCAAGAAATTAGGGGAAAATTAATTTTAGGTTATTATAACTTATGCATCTCTATTTGAATCCATATACTATATAAATGTTGATTATTATCATATCTTCATCGAAGTGGATACATACAATATTAACAATACATAATTCATTATATGCTTTGTAAATATAATGCATTCATTATCAAATACAAAATCAAACACTTTTTTATTAACATTAATTATAAAATTGTGCTCATTTCTCATAAAGATAATTTGCAGGTCATCTTTAATAATCAATAAACCAAATGCAAAGATAATAATTATTTTAAGAAAATCCTTACTGAGTAAGTTGAAGTTAGTGTCATGAGATTGGATAATAAGGTTTGGTCATGGTTTGAGTAAGATTCAAATAAGGTTCAAACATTATTAGATCATGATTCAAATTATATAATATTACCCTTATTATATTTTATGGACTTAACTTATATGAGTTATTTTGCTATTTATACAGAAGCTTACAATAATCGTACTTATTGAATCATATATAGAGAAAAAATATATGATGAAATAATTGTTAAGTAGTTTGAGGCTAATGATCTCATGGTCAAGAGTGAGAGATTTCCCTTTAATCAGTTCCTTAAGTATCATTAAATATTGTTACCTAGAGCTATAATAATCCAAAAGTTAAAAAAAAAAAAACTTACTAGAATAATATGAAATTTTTGGGTTAAACGATGCGACATTGAGAGTGCTACAATGTCAAAAAATACTGCTGCGACATTGAAGACTCTGTTTGGTAATAACTCGGGGGGCGGCAAACATAGTTGCAGCACTGTGGTGGATAAGTGCCACAGTGCTAGGCACTAAAATTAGTTCTTATAATTTTTTATGTTAAATACCCTATCGTCCCTTACTCCCTCCCTCATTCATGCTGTTCATCCTGAAATGAAAGGACAAGAAGAAGGGGATGGGAGAAGAAGATAGATAAGAGAGAGAAAGCCCTTCGTGGTGGTTTTACCCATCACTTATGCTATAAATTTTGTTCAACTTAAAGTGACTATAGTCTTACTCCTATTTTTAGCAATTTTGACTTCTAAGATTTTAATCTTTTCAAAATTGATACTAATATATTTTTTCTCCTAATTTATCAAGCTTTCACTATGTAACTTTTTATATGTAATAAATATGATTCTTATAAAATTTTTTACTACAATATTACTAAATTTCATTGTGTAAATTAGAAGTTCTAATTTTATTAAATTAATGAATATTTTAAATATTTCTCTTCATTTCATGGATTATTGCATTAATACATGATATTATATTGCATTGACAAAAAGGTATAACTTATATATGAGATAAATATTGCATTTGCATGCAAGCAAGGAAGGCTGATTTGGAGGCTATGACCATGCTATGAAAGGTTGATGACAATGGTCGAGCAATGATGGTCTGACGGTGATAATTGGGCAATAAAGGTTTGATGACGGTGGTTTGTCGGTGAGGGCTCGCTGGCTATGGTGCTCTAGTGGAACTCCTAAATTCTTCAAGCCTCATAGCTCTCTTGAATTTTATCTAAGGTCCTCTTTATATAGAAAATGGGGGCTTATTTATAGATTTTTGGGTGTGGCATGCCTTCCAAAGCACTCCATTGGAAGTATATATTGATTCCCTATATCATAGATCATTTATTCAGTATTGAAGTACCCAAATGATGATAGAATTATGCGATCTCGGCCTTGTTGAATTCTTCTCATCAAGCCGCTCGATACGACTATAAGCACGTCAAATTTCAAAATCATTTCTCTACCCAATTAATATCTTGAAGTTTTCAATTATGCTTCAGGCCATTAATTTAGACTCATTTGAGCTCAAATTGGATAATATTTTTTGTCGTTTGGTTCATCTCATCGAGATGTTATGTTCGACTATAAATTTGTTGGAATCAAGAGTTTAGACAATTATAATTTTAATTATGAAAGTTTTAAAATCAAATGTGCCTCAAGATTCATGCACGATGAAGACTTTTTTTGGTGATATATTATGAATAATTATGGAGTATTATTATATGCATAAGAAACAACTTGATTTAAGATTGATCAATAATACCTTAAAAAGTTCAGAAAAAATTTGGGTTTGGATCATGATATTCTGACCTAAATTATGTTAGGATGAATTTCAAAGTTTATATTAAGATCAGCTCATTTTGGTGGAACTAGATTGACGAACAACATGGAGAAAGGATAGAGAAAGCGGCGAACACCTTGAGTGGAGGAAGAAGATAACAGTGACAGTTAATGAATAAAAAGATATAATAGAGATCTGCCCATCTCTAGTTGCTAGAGGAAGAAGTTCATTAAAAATATATAATAGAGACCTACCCATCTCTAGTTGCTAGAGGAAGAAGTTCATGGGAAAGCCACTAGAGGGTGAGAGGTTTCCATAGTAACTAAGGAGTTCGGACTTAGGCAAGATTTTGCAGGACAAACAAATATTAGCTTGATTTAGGAAGAAATAAAGAAAGAGAAAATTAGGGTTCAGTTTAGGGTGATTAAACTTTTGTTATGGACCCAACAACCGACTGCAAATCTGGTCTCGAAAAGTTAGTTTTCTTTGTAGTGATTGCCCTATGCTATGTTATGACTATTGGGTTTGCTTTCTTCTATATTATAGCTCTTAAATTGCAATATATATATATATATATATAATTTGTTATAGGTATTGTGATTACACTCTATTATATAACTTTATAGTTTGTTATTTTAAAGATGTTTAATTGCTCTATGTTGTAACTATTGTAGGAAATCTCTAAATATATTATACTGGAATCCTGCTTGAACCTCATTCAAGCGGTATTTAGTGTGTATTTTGTTTCCATTTAAATTATTTTTTAGCTATGTTTGAATCCTATTTGAATATAGTGTTCTTCAAATTTATTCGAGCCAATGTCTTTTATATTTCTAATAAGTATTGTTTATGATCAAAAGATGAAATATTTTAGTCAAAAATAAAATTTTAGACATTAAAAAAAAAACTTCTGATATATTTCTTTAACTATGAATATTATGGTACATTTAAAATAAAAATTTCATTAATATTTCACTTTGATGTCAAACGCATGTAGCGTTAAAAACACTACCTCGGCCATTTCGTTGAAAACCAAACCAAACGGACAGGCTTCTTCCATGCTCCACGATTTGTTTTCAGAGTTGGATTGCTGAGACGTAGTAATGGAAGCCGGGGGTGGTAGCCGCGACGTTGGGCTGCAGCAGGGCTTCTGCTGCCGGGAACTTGAGCTTGAAGAATACCCCGATAAGTACGTGATCCGATCCCTCGATCCCAACGTTCCGGATCAAGCCTTCTCCGTCAGCCGCTCGGACGGCGATATTAAACTGCTTACTGGTTGGTTCCTTTCCCTTTTGCCTTCTACTACTACAGATTGTTCAATACAATTGATCCTTTCATCAGTTTCCTCTTGGGATTTTTCTTGTAGGTCTCGATATCTAAAGCACAATATTCTTTCTTTTTCAAATCTCTGAACTGATTTTTCGTTTTGGAGTGATTAAAAAGACTCCATACTGTCTTTTGCTTCATTTTTGTTTTTATTTTCGTTCCTTTAAAATTTTAATTGGCCTGTTCATATAGTATTATAGATTTCCTTGTAACTCATAAAATGTTGTTCAATAGTAACTATTAACTATGTTTCAGAAAATCAAAATAAGGTTTTTGGCGCATGACTGATCGGAGCAAGACTTCAATTTTATTAATTTATGATTTTGATCTTCCGAGATCTACTTTTGTAAGCAGATCTTTAAAAAGATCTTGTTGCATGGTGGAAAAATTCTTCAATGCTGGTAGAGTTTGGGTAGATAGATCTTCCTAAGCCTGATACCGTGTCTTTTTCAGAATCAATTCAAACAGAAGGTTACTTGGACAACTAGGGATTTTGTTTTCACAGAGACCCTTTGACGTCAGAGACTAACCTTGAAAGTGATCAATTGTTGAAAAAAAATCAAACAAAGTTTTGCTTCAAACAAAGTTTTGCTTCAAACAAAGTTTTGCTTCGAGACTAAAGAGCGAGAGGAAGTACTGTAACTCACCTTTCATGAGGTATTTACAAGAGTTTGGCCCTGATATTTATGATGGAACTAAAATGTCTCTCGATTGAGGGCATTTTAATTTTTCTTGGTTAATCAAAGAATGGATAGTTAAGTCATGTTACTTTTAACATTTGTGCTAGACTATCATCACCTTAACAATAATGGAGGATCGATTGAGATCCTAGGCCTTGAGGTTCACGTTGATGAAGATTTGGATTGAATGATTAGGTTTATATGGATGATTATGAGATCAATGTTGATAGTGATCTTAATTGAATGATCTAACTTACCATGACATTGATGCTGATGAAAATATGCTTCATTTAGCTTGATTCTTTGGTCAACACAAATTTTGATGTGATTGAGCACTACAGTACTAGAAGTGCTGTCATTGGATGAAGATCATGTAAGCATGGTGATGGTGCTCTTGATCAAATGGTTAAGAATAATCATTAATTATTTTTTTAGGCTATATTAGCTGCACCCAAATATCATTAATTATTTTTTAGGACTTTTAGAGGCAAAATATGAAATGAGTATATACATGACAATGTTGGAGTAGCTCTAGTGGTAAATAAGATTAGAGTGAGTCGCCTTAGATGATTTGGTCACATAAAATGTCAGTCTTCTGATAGCCTAGTTAGGAGAGTAGATGTATTAGATTTGACCTACGTTAAAAAAAAATAGAGGTGGACCAAAAAAGATTTGGTTAGAAAGTATTTTAAATGACATTTTTTATTATATTTAAATAAAATTTTTATTCTTAATAGGACACAATGAAGAAAAAAAGGATTTATGTAGCCGACCCCATGTAGTGGGATAAATGCTTGATGCTGTTGTTGTTGTAGTAAAAAAATTCAAAAGTACATTGACTTGAGTCATTACATCAATCAATAGTTACTCATATTTCTATTATATCATAGGAATGTTGATGGCATACTTGTGATTCTTCTAAAACTATGGGTCGATTTAGGTTCCTTTGGCTACAATTGCTTTTAAAGTACCAACGTGAAAGTTCCGTTAGGTTTGCAGACCAAGTGGGTTTGAATTGTCCTAATTGGTTAGTTTTTTTAGTCAAATTTTGACCGATCATTTTCTAATATTTTTTTATTTTGAAATTTAATTTAGATTGATAGTGAAGCAGACTCATTAATTTTTTAGTCATCAAAGTTGTGCATGAGTTAAATATCATCTTAAAACTTTCATATCATTGTTTAGAATTGCGATGAATATAAGGCTCATCTCATCGCAATTCTAGTAGAAAATGCCTCGAGGCTTCCGCCTCAAACTTTTTTTATGAGGCTTGTGCCTCAGGCACCTGAGGCTCGTCTCGCTTTGCTGGCGTGAGGCTTACGCCTCACTCTATTTATATATATTTTTTAAAACTTATCTAAATCCTAAACTAAAGCCCTGAATAAATTATGCATTCATGCACCCCCGAGCAGTAACAACTTCCTCTTGATTGCCTCGACCTTCAGCCTGTCGCATTCGTTATAGTCACCACCATCATAGTCGTTAATGAGATCACTTGAAAGCCGCACACCACAATCGACTCCTCTAAAATTTTGGAGTATTAATCTCATCTTTATGTTGATGAAAAATTTTTATGAAAGAAGAAAAATGACTGAAATATGTGAAGAAGGAATAGCTTGGGAGGTATTGGACTTCATAGGAAGAGGCTGGTCAGAGACCAATTTGTTATGATGATGAATCAAATAAAGACCCCCTCAATGATGATAGTGCAGATGATTTTTGAGTTGTTGCCAATTATTTTGACTTTATTTAGGAATTAAATGTGGATGAGTAGGGAACTAAGAAAGAAGGAATTTGGATTTGAACTTGATGTTATATGATGCTTTTATGAAATTCATTTATTTAGTATTATTTTACTCTTACAATATTTGGATTTTAATTTTATTTCACGCAATTTATCATTTGCCGCTTTATGTCTTGGGCAAAGTTTTTGTTTCATAAGAATACCAATTTTTTTCTTCATAAATCAATTGAAACTTAATATGTATCTTTTAACATATTACTTGGGTATTATATAAAAATCATTTTTAACCTTTAGTTTCACTTTATGCAAATTTATGATTTTTAGGCTTGCGCCTCAAAACGCCTTGAGGTTGACGCCTCACCTAACAAACAAAAAATGCCTCAATACCCAATTGTGCAATTTTAAACCTTGTTTCATATGATTACTTGGATTTGATTATGGGTCAAAATTGACTTTATTTCCGTATTTGAAGCAAAAAAACCTAGATAGCTTGAAACACAATTCCCTAGCCTATCATGACATGCAACTTCTAGGTGCCTGCTAAGGCTCTGTGTGTGGTTCATTGATGTTGCATGGGCCTCGGGCTGAGTGCCTGAGAGGTGATAATGGGCCACTGCCCTCTTCGCCTCTTGGCGACAATTTTTTTTGTCAACCCCCTCTTGTAAGGTGATTGTATAGGAGGTTAGGAACATCTTTTTATGAGATGATAAAATGGTCCATGGTTTTTGTAAATATTCTTAAATCTTCATTTGTATACTATGCAAGTCTCAGAAAATGATGATTGAGGCAATGAGAATGGGAAGAATATATGGAATAAGTATGTTTAGTTTTTAGCTTCAATCATCGTAATATGCTTCTTGTTCGTTGTTGAGGCTACAATGTTGATATTAGGTTTCTAGATTTTTGTCTAGAGCTCCTTAGCGTGCTCTTTGTTTGGCCTGCAAGCAACAGTGGTGAGCCCAATTGCTAAACATTAAGCTTAGCACCCTTTCATGCACCCTTCATTCTACGACAAGGTGGAAATGGTGATCTCAATGCTAATATTTCAGCCCATCCCCCCTTGCACGTAGTTCATTTCCTATTTGAGCTGGCAATGGTGAGCTTAACCATCAAATTTCTAGTTCATACACTTTCTACTTGCTCTTTTGGTGATAAGCTTGTAGCAGTGCTATTAGATGCTTAAATTTTTATTTAGACTTCATCTATGAGCTTTGTCTGATTTTTGAGGTGCTGGCGATGAGCTTGGATGCCAACCTTTCAACTTAGACCCATACATGTCCCCTTCCTTTGGTTGCGAGATAATAATGATGGTATTAAGTTCCATGGTTACAACATAGATCCCCTTTACTTGCTGCTTATTTTTTAGGACAAACCCCTTATGCATGCTCTTTGTTTGATGACAGGGCCAGCTGACGAGCTCATCATTGTCACTCAACTTCTTATTGATTCGACTTGTTTGATTAATGACATATTGATTCATACTCTTATGTTCTTCGCATGATAAAATTTTGGACGGGATGATGATATTTTTAGCTCTTATAAATAATTTTCTTCTCTTAAAACTTCCAATAAAAATAAAATAAAATATATTTTTTCTTTCTTCTCTCAACCCCCAACCACCAAACAGTTTTACACTGTGATTGAGAGTTAGGATTTGAAGAAAAAAGGAAAAAAATAGAAATAAATATTTTCATTTGATTGAGGGTTTTACATGTGAAGAAAAAGAAAAGACAAGAACATAAAATTTACTTTATATGAAAGATTTTGTTTCTCTCCCAAACAAGGGGAAAGTGGAGAGAAGGAACCGATTAAGTAACTTTTTGATAATACACAAACTGCCCCCATTTTAACAAAAAAATCCTGACTTATTTTTATTTCCATGATGGTATATATATCAAATTAATTATAATATGTCATTTTCTTTCTTTTTTTTCAACTCTCAGCGAAGAATTGAATAAATAAAATTTTCTCTTAAATTTCTCAATCATGAAGAAAATATAATGTATCTTTTTTTTTGTTTTATGTACACTTATATCTTTTTCTTTTCTTTTCTCTATGCTTAAATATGATCAACATGAATTAAATTTAAATTTCATTTATGGGGGTATGGAATGCTGGTGCAACTAAGCAACCATATGCTAATAGTAGTAGCTTCGTAAATCTTTCTAGTGTTTAAATACTTTGGCCTATACGGTGCAGCATGGTCTAATTATTATTTACTTTAAGTTTGATATGCCGGGGGGGTCTACCTTGTTGGGCACAGGGGAGCTATTATTCATTATGTAAGGAGGAAAAATTAAGGGGAAGCTATTTAAGAAGGTCCTAATCAAGGAGACGTTGTTTAGAAAAGTTTTCTAATTGTGCTTATGCTATTTATGAAGTGTTTAATTGCTTAGGAAGGTTTCCTAAAATATGTTTAATTATTTAGAAAGGTTTTCTAAATCATTTTTAATTTTTTTTGGAAAGTTTCTTAAAATATGTTTAATTGTTTAGGAAGGTTTCATTTGTGTTATTGTGGCTAGGGCTATTTAAGGGGGAGTTTTGATTTGGTTAGGTACTGCTAAGTTCATTTTTCTAGTGTTTTTTGTGAATTCTTAGCAAAGTATCGGATTTATAAGAGAGCTGATCTACCTCTTGAATATTAGATCAATTGTATCTTTCATTATTTGTTAAAGAGAAATAAGAAAATCAACACTATCTTTGTATTCCTACACTGTTCTTCTCTTTTACTTGTTGTTTTTGCTTCCAAGTTCCATCAAATTGGTATCAGAGCATTTATTTCGGACCCATGGCAACAAAGAAGGTGGAGGCGTTGGAAAAGTGGAGCAAATCAAGTCTGATGTGGAGAATTTCTCAACCATGGAAGGACGATTTTCATCTATATAAAACCGATTGGGAAGGATGGAGGAGATGTTAAAAAACCTCATGAAGATGCAATTCGAAACTCTAATGGTGGTTCTAATTGCTAAATCGAACCACAATATTTGATTGGGATTCCCTTGGCTGAATCTAATAAGGGAAAGATGATTGATGGGAGGAGTTCGATGAGGGAGGATCAGGAGGTGAAAATTTTAGGGGAAGAAGAGGAGTTGACACCTTTGGAGCCAATTCCAAGGAGGGGTAAGGGTGAAGGAGAGGGATTTTTGGTGGAGTAAAGTTTGGAAGAAGATGGGGACTTCTCACCAACTGCATTGGAAGAATGGGTCAAAAATATCATGAGCTTATATACAGTTTATGTCCAAATTCAAGCAAGTAGCCTTTGACACTTTGCCAAGAGGTATTTCAGAAGGTGGGGAGACAATATATGCTGGGCCTAAGAGCTAAGGATTCAGAATTAGATAGTGGTTCATCTTACTTTACAACAATTCTTTTGAGAAAATTATATTCATCAGAATTTAAAGAAGAATGGGTTTCTTGAGGATGATATCGATGCTCCTCTGCGGAGTGGCATTGTTAGGATTTTTAATCAACCCGACATTGAAGCTTCTACTTATGGTGATGGATTTGTTTAGGTAAGGTATAAAAGGAAGATGTCAAATGAATGGTGAGGACTGAGGAAGAGAGAAACCAACCTTGAGTATAAGGCTCTAGTAAGGAAAGCTGATTCATAAATGATAGATATGCTTCATTCGGTAAACATTGTACTTGGTGATGTAGGTGAATCTTCAACTTTGAAGACTACCATAGAAGGATGCAACAAGAGCATTTACTGTGCCACGGCTCGCTCTCTTATAACTGCAGACCTCTACAGGGTGGACTACCGAGGAGCATACAATGTCACCAAGGCATTTCAGGATTATGACAATAAATTTGCACAATTAAGGGCTGGAAAAAGCAGTAAGAGCAAATTTTTGCTAGCTAAATTCAAATCATCTAAATTTTTAGATGGGTGGGAAGTTTGCCAAGGAACTTACTTTCAAGATGTTCTTGCTTTGAAATATGATAGAAGAATTGATGCAAAGTTGGAGTTCACAGAAATATGATAAGCTGTATTTTCAGGATATATATTTACAAGAGGTGGATATATCTAGCTTTACAAGAGACTGTCCTTGCCTTTGGGCTCCACCCTTGATAGATATGACAGTCTACTTTGCTCTATTTGTGGAAATGGAAGGTCATTTATTGTAGTTCTAGAGGCTGACCCATTGACTGAAACCTCCCAAAGCAAATTATATTTTGCTTGAATGAGCAAAAAAAAAGGGCTTTTGCTGAGTGAGAATACCCTTTTCATCTTTTTGACCTGTTAAACCAGATGATCCTTTGTTGGATCCTTTCCTAGTACCTACTTCAGCAATTCAATTTGAACCAAGAAGAGAAAGACCTCCTGAAGGACCTACGTGAATGATACAGGATCCTAGGAGCTTCAAGTTGATATTGGAATATATAAAGGCCTTAGCAACTGGAAGAGAAACTGATTTCATCTTTGCATCATGTACTGGATCTGTGATTGAATCCAGTAGAAGGGATAAGGTCCTAAAAGCCAAGAAGGTAGTTTCTTGGTCGCCAAACTACATGTTACAAGCCGGAAAGCAGCCTGACTGGAAGTATGGCTCAGAAGCTTCTACAGTGAATGTGAACAAGGTTGATACCAGCAATCTAAATGTTGTTTATGGTCAACAACAAGTAGCCCACGTACCAACTATTGCAGAACATTTGTCTTCTGAATCAGCTATTAAAACAATAAATTCACCTTTTCCTTTTTTTCAATATTAGGCCCATCCATGGTTTAAAATTGCGCAATATGAGGCTCGCCTTGAGGCCCGCCTTTGCGCAATTCCAGTAAAAAACATGAAAAACGCCTCAATACCCGAATGCGCAATTTTAAACATTGGGCCCATCTAGTCATCTACAGAGACATCAGTTCCAGGATACTGGCTACCTATTCCACATCAATCTCCCCACTCTATTTGACTCTCAACTATCCTTGAACAATTTCAAAGCCTTCCTTTGGATGTGTCTGCTACAAATGTAAGTTAGAATGTGCCTCATTCTGCAGCTACTCAAGAAAACAACCAACTTTCATTTAGGCTTAATACTGCACTTGGTTGGGCAGCTTCTACTGTTAGTGCATTTAATGCTGCAAAGAACATAATGGAAGCTCTTAGAAACAAGCACCCAAACTTGGCCGGTGAACTTGAAATAGGCTCAAGATTTTTTACTCTTCCCGAGGAGCTGCTTCTTGCTATTGTTAATGCATCACTTCATCATTGCTACAAGTATCCAACCGCTACCATTGCTGAGGTTCCACAATCTCTTAAAAAGGAGCTATCAGTAGTTTTTAGGGCTTGTTTCTCTATAGATCCTGTGAATAAGCATGTTGATTTTGTGAAGGAATATAAATAAAATTTTGAATGCGATATGGATCCTGGGAGCGCTAACACATTTCCGGTTAACCTCCTAGAATTAACCGATAAGCGGAAGCACCAGAAAAAAATTCTTTAGCAGCAATTTCCTTTGTTCCACCTTGAGAACAAGGTGGCTCTTTGGGAGGGGAGTATTGATATGCCCGGGGGGAGGGGGTCAACTTGTGGGGCCAAGGGGAGCTATTATTCATTATGTAAGGAGGAGGAGTCAAGAGAAAGTTATTTAGGAATGTTCCTAATCAAGGGGGAGTTATTTAGGAAAATTTTCTAATTGTGTTTATGCTATTTAGGAAGTTTTTAATTGTTTAGGAAGGTTCCTAATCAAGAGAAAGTTGTTTAAGAAAGTTTCTTAATTGAGTTTATGCTATTTAGGAAGGTTTTCTAAATCATATTTAATTATGTAGGAATGTTTCTTAAATCATGTTTAATTATTTAGGCAAGCTTCCTAAAATATGTTTAATTGTTTAGGAATGTTCTATTTGTTTTATTGTGGCTGAGGCTATTTAAGGGGGAGTTTTGATTAAGGTTAGGTATCATGATATTGCTAAGTTTATTTTTCTAGTGTTTGTTGTGAGTTCTTAGTGGCGTCTAGGGTTTGTGGGAGAGTTGATCTATCTCTTGAATAGTAGATCAATTTTATCTTTCATTATTTGTTGAAGAGAAATAATAAAATCAGTCTTATCTTGTGTTATTACACTGTTCTTCTCTTTTACTTGCTGTTTTCACTTCCAAGTTCTATCAAAGTTATATGAGATCAAAGTGATGCATATTTGAATAACTATAGTGACTATAATTGAGGCTAGTTGACTCTCATCACACAGCTTGTTCAACCTTCTTTGCAGGGGATGCTAAATCCGAAAATCCTACTAAAGTTTCACAGATTTTTGGCGTTGTTGGAATTCTAAGATTGATATCAGGTAATCTTAGATTGATGTATTATTTTATAAGTATCATTAAACTCTTTTATTTCTTTTCAAGTGAACTGCAATATCTTATGTTATGATGCTTCAACAGTTTTAGTGTGAAGTGACATCTGGACATTTTATAGATTTTTGATTAATTAACTGTACCATTTTTATAATGCTTCATTAATCCATGCCTTTGCCTGCCACTTATTTCCTGAGATTAATGCCCAGTTCTTAGGCTCTCCTCCTCTCTCATTGTAATAAATCAAAATAGAATTTTCACAAAGTTCCCTCTGAACTTAACTCCATTTGGCAATGCTTTCTTCTTTATTGTTTTACATTCTTCATTGTTTTACAGAAAGTTTTATGCCACAATTTATTTGCATGGGAATTTTTTGTCGGGTTGCATAGGAAACATATTGCAGAACAACTCATTCATCTATAAGCACTCTCATAGGAGTTCAGATTTGAAGATTAAACAAAATAATTAGAAAGAAAGTTATATATATATATTTTGGTTGTGAGCTTAAAGTAAGAAGAGAAAGAAAGAAAGTGAAAGGAAAGTTTTCCTCCAAAAATAAGATTTAATTTCTCTCCTCCCAAAAAGAGCTAAAATTGGAGTTAAAAGGAATTGGTACAAGAAAATTTTAATAATATCCAAACTAATCTGTCTCTAATTAAAGAATAATTGTTTATTACTTTTCAATCCTAGTTTATCATATTTCTTCCTATGGGTTAATTAGTTATATATATATATATATATATAAACGGGTTGCAACTTGCAAATTTTCTACCATTTTTTGTTCTTGTCAACCAAAATCAAAAGCAAAAAAAAAACCTACAATCTACAACCTAGGGTTTGATTTAGGTAAAAACAAGAAAAATCCCACAACAATCTCTTGTGAACACAAATCCACATGATAAATAAGAATAAATTGAGAGAAATGATGAATGGCAAAAAAAAAAAAAAAATCAAAATCTAACTTACAGAAACTTATTTACGGCTGATGGTTCACTCGACGGAACGCTGAAGAATCACGTGAAGACGGTGTGGCTGCTTGCGACGACGGTGCGGCTGCTCGCGGCGACGACTCTGCTCGAAGGGGCTGCTCGCGGTGACGACTCTGCTCGAAGGGGCTGCTCGCGGTGACGGCTGCTCAAGGAAGAGTCGCGGAATGCTCCTTCGCTCCAGTGAAAGCAAACAGCGGAAATAATGCGGGATTAGGGTGAATAGGAGTGAACCGGTGTTTATTCCTTATGTTTTTTATTTTTTATTTTATTTAAAATATGAAATAGCCGGACACGCGACACGCGTGTCCGGCTTAAGTTTAAAAAAAAAAAACCTGGACACGCTCAAAACGTGTCGGACACGTGTCCCCGCCGTGTCGGGCGCATGTCCGTGTCCAACACGTGTCCAACACTGCACTGCCTCTTAAAACGGAGTGTCGGTGCATCATAGGATATATATGTCAAATTAATTATGACTTTTATTTTTCTTTCTTTCAATTCCTAATCATTAATGAACTGAATAATTTTTTTCTCCTAAAAAATGAACAAAATATATTTCTTTTCCTTTTTGTTCTGTCGATCTAAATCCTTTCTTTTCTACCCTCATCTTTTCGATCACTGTAAAAGTGACTTGAAGTTTTACATGGAATAATACCACTATTGGAAAACATTACCAGGAATAATTGTTGTGGATGCGTTGCCCCTTTGAAGGTACTGTTCATATGGTTCCTCTTGCACAGAAAAAGTATTGGATTCAAACTTTGTCCGCTCCTTGTTGCTTTCGCTGTTTTGAGATTTTCATTTTTATCCAAAAAAACACTTGTTATGAATTTTCAAACAGTATGTCTTGAAAATTCCGAGTTTGTTGATGTATTTCTTCAATGAATCTATTTCAACTTAGTAACACTAAGCATACTAATGGATTTTGTATTTTGACACAAATCTGAACAAGTAGATCAATATCTAGTCTAGTGTTGATGGAGCCCATCCATCAATTCAACTTAATGTATTATCTGATTAGTGCAAACACTACGTAATCGTACAGATCTATTTTCTATAAAGTATAAATAGCCATTTTTTCTCTCCAAGGCCTAGTTCCTGGATGAAATCCACCTTTTTTTTTTCTCTTGAAAGTTGTTGGCACTTGTCGAAGATTGATGAGTTGTTGTGTGGGCCAGGAGCTAATTGAGACAACCGGATGCCTTTTCTGGATAAATCTCACTTTTTTACAGCTGTTCAAACCTTTGTACTCCCACAAGCCTTCAAAACTGCTTTTAAGCCTATTTTATTCCTCTGTTGTTTATTGCCACTTTAAGTACCATAAATATGGCCGTGAACTTTCAGTTGTAGTTATTTATTAACCAAGTTTGATATGCTTGGTGTTGTTTGATCTGAATCATGGTAACACCGTAGCAGCGATACTATATATAAACCTAGCTATTTATCCGAGATATCTAGTTATATATTTAACAGCATAACCTAGAATTTTATATTGCCTTATTAATTTACTCTGCGGTTAACCTAATGTTTTTTTTTGTTCCTTAGCGAAACTTGATCTCAATTAGAATATGCAGACATTATACTCTAAAGAGTAGTTTATTGGCAATTATCTTCTAAATAGTTTTTCAATTCTGATGCATTGTAAACTAATGTTCCTATCATCTATCATGTTTTTTTATTAGAGAAGTTCCATAGTTTTTAATTAAGTCTGTAAGTAGTAAATGAAAAAGAAGATAAATACTTGTTTATCTTTTCAAATGACTCTGCTCATTATGTTTTGTATCAATTATTAATTTTTTCCCATGTGATTCTATCTAAAGGTGGAAAATAATAGCTATAGTTTGTATAGTAAACTATCATAGATTATTACACGTACCTTCGTAACTTTTTACTGTATTAAAATGTTTGATTATCAGTAGTTGGTTGAAGTTGGTCCTTTTGTTAGTATTGCCGTGTTCTTGTAACACAACTGTGGGGTGAAACATCAACATTCTGAGCCATATCTCCAGTAATTCCTTAGTATTCAAGAGTCTAAACACAGTTGACACCCCATCCTACAAAGCCTCCCATGTTCCCAACTAGGGAAAGGCACCCAACCAGTTTTTCTCACTCTTTTAAAAATATAACTCTAGCTTCTATATTTGTCTATTTTAATCTAGATTCAACTTATTATTTTGATACAGGAACATACATACTGGTTATTTCTTCCCGGAAAGAAGTTGGAACCTATCTTGGCTTCCCAGTTTATTCTGCGATGACTATGAAATTTTTATCCTGCAGTGAAGCTTGGAGGACTTCTAAGGAGGTGCACTGTTTTGACTTTGGTGTTCTCTACTCAGACAATCATAAAATCCTTGCGCATCTACCTCCTCAGTTCATACTCCTTCGTAAATGCAATTATATATGAACAAACAAGACTAATGCCATCTATTCATGTCCCTTTGCAGAAAAGAGATGAGGATTACTTCATGTCTTTGTTGAGGATAGTGGAGTCTACACCTGGTTTATATTATTCTTATGAATCAGATCTAACATTAAAGTACGTTTCTCCACATGTGTTTCCTAGTAGTATCTCCCTTCAATTAAGCTCCATTTCAATTTGAATGACATCAATTTTACCTGAAATAGCATGATAAATTTATTTCTGTTGAACATAATCAATATGTGGGCCTTTTTTATATAGCTTACAGAGATCATGCAAGTTGGATGAAGTGAGATTTAGCAAACCACTTTGGAAACAGGTTAGCTACTGTGTAAATGGTTGTACTTTTGGTCTTTCTTCCCTTCTCTTGTTTTTGTTCCTTGCCCTGAGAGTATGAATTAAGTAGACACCCTCACCCTATTTCAGCTCCCTCACCCAAACAACACAACTATCACAAACTTAGAAAGTATGACTGTTCACCTTGCACTTCTTGATTGGATACCATGCTTGAGATTGTTTTACCTGAATTTCTAAAAATGGTAGCGGGGTGAAATTGTGGAAGCTAAAATCATCTTTTATCATGTTTTGGGGGTTAATTGGATCTTCTTAGTGACCTCAGTGACTCATAAAGTGTTGTTTTTTTATGCTAACACAAATAAAAGAAAAAATATGTAAGACATCCTGTTATAGCATGTTTATATTATCATGCATGTATTTGGCTCTAGGACTGATTAATTTAATTGTGAACCTTGGTATTTTTAAAGTTTGGTAGTATAATTTTTATTGTACGTTCTGTTTGCAATATTAAGATAGGCTTTGGAAAATGCTGAATTTAACATTGATGCCTAGAATGTACTCATGGTTAGATCAAGGGAAAACTTCAGAAGTGGAGAGTGGAAGATATATTATTCTGTGCGTACAGTAATCATCTTTTTGTGTTTGCCAGAGGCCTGGGAGATGGAGTACAATGTCCAGAACTAGTTTTGCTTTCCCTTCTATGTCTATGCTATGCTTAACTACAGAATTCCAACTTGGCCTCTTTTTTTCACTAGAACCGTATACATTAGTGATTTCATGTATGGGATTTACTTTTAATGGCTTACTCCACATTTCAGGCTGACCCACGCTATGTTTGGAATAAGAACTTGCTCGAAGACCTTATTGAGCATAAGGTTGTCATCTTATGTGACTCATAATCATACTATTGATTGATAAACATTGCAGATTGATATTAACTTGGATCTTCATTTTTTTGCAGCTTGACGCATTTATTATTCCCTTCATACAAGGCAATATCCTTTCTTTTTAAACGAAAGAACTTTTATATATTCGCATGTGCAGTATTCTTATTCTGGAGAAAGCTGGCCTTAGCTTTCATGTGCCTTTGTTGTTTATCATGACTTGCGCATATTGGAATTGATAGCAATTTTGTTCTTCATATGTAGCTTTAAGAACACTGCTTGTGTTATACCTTAATAAGATTTTAAGCTTTCAGACTACTGAGTTGATCCTTAAAGATTCACCTGCCAAGATTACTTTGATCTCACGGAGGTGCAACCGTCGTCTTGGTAATTGGCTATGCTTACTCTTGAGAAGTTTTATTGCATCCAAGTTTAGTAGTCTAAAATCGGTTAAAACATGCTTAAAACATTTTCTAATGTTGAAACATTCTTTTCAGGGACAAGAATGTGGAGGAGAGGAGCCAATCTTGAAGGTGATACAGCTAACTTTATTGAAACAGAGCAGTTGTTAGAATTGGAAGGGTTTAAGTTCTCATTCTTGCAGGTGATTGTATGTTTTGCACATTAATTGGTGAAATCAGCTGGCAAAATTTCTTATTTGGATGCATAAACTTTATTTTAGTTTGGAGGTACGCTTGAAAATTCAACTGCCTTTGAGCTATAAGGTCTGTTGAATAGCATTATGTCCAAACTGCCCATATATAATCCGATAGGAGAAGTACCTTCTGTTTTCAAGCTGGTTTTCTTTCGCAGTATTGTGAAATTATTAGTATTTCTTTGTTATTATGGGATGGTGATGAGTTTGAATCGTAGTAACATTCCCGTACATTATAGGGGTAAGAGTTCATGCGTTATGCCTTCCTTAAACCCTGTATTATTAGAAATTTCATGTTGTAGGTATGCCTCTTTATAAAGGCTTTAGTTTCAAAGTTATACAAAATTTCTTCTTTGAAATTATTAAAATTTGAAATGCTTTGATTATCCATACAGTTTCTTGAATAAATGTTTAAATAATAATGCCAAGGTTTGAATCATTATGCGGCATGTTCGTGAGGTATTCATATTCCACTTTTATTTAGTATATTATTTTGGCTTTATGCATAATGGTCTTTCATCACGCAAAGGGATTTCCGTATGTTGAATCATACCAATTGTTTTCTCGTGCAATGAGAAAAGTTCTGTAAGAAGAGGCTATGTATAGGGGTGTAAATTGGTCTAGTCGAGCTCGAGTAGCAGCAAACTCGAGCTTAACTCATCACTTGAAAGAGCAGCTCGAAGTCGAGCTCGTGTCGAGCCCAAAGAAAGAGCTCGAGCTCGAGACTCGAGTGCTCGGAAAGAAAAATCGGAAAAGCTGAAGCTTTGCTTCGTTGTCACTGGTAAGTGCTGCCTGTGGAGAAGAAACCTCGCTCGCTGTAGAGAAGAAAGCTCGATAAAAAAAATGAAGAAGAAGTAGGGTGCTGCTTTCGAAGAAGGCAGCTTTAATTATGTGTACACATTTTGGGGAATGTAGCATGCTCCAAAACCTTTTTCTTAAACAACTGCTATTTAATTTTTTTTTAAATTTGTACTCTGTTATACAATGTTATAATTACAATAATGTATAGTAAATGTTATATATTTTTCTAATAAATAAAAACTTTATGTTAGCTTAAATTTTAAATAATTAATTAATTCAAGCCGGCTCACGAGCCGACAAGTCGACTTGAGCTCGAGCTCGTTTAATATTCAAGCTCGTGAGTCGATAAGCTTGACTCTCGAGCTCATTAACGATTCAAATTCGAGCCGGCTTGGTTCATTTACTCCCCTAGCGGTGCATTTCAAAATTGAAATTAATTAAATTACAGGGGGCATTTTCTTTATTACTTTCAAGTGAACTAGGTTCTACAGCATCAAGCATCAAACTTTAACATTTGAGATAAATTGAATGATGTATGGTTATAATTCTTTTTCTAGACCGATGCAGCTTGGTAATCATCCTCAAGCAGAGGAAATTTGCTGTTTTTGCTAGCCTTCAAGAAGCCTTTTGCAACTTAGTACTGTGTTTCCTTGTTATTCGTTGCCTTTTGGCCTTTGAGAGAATCCTGAGTGTCTAAATGGGCAACCTCATCTCTTATTTTGAATCATTGGAGGGTGAAAACAGATTAATTGTGGATTCAGAAGTGTAGAGAGTAGAGACATGCTATTTTTAAGCCCAAATAGTGTAGTTGGTAATATTTTCAACGGTTGCATGTTCTTGATGACTGGTTTGCATTAGTTTAATGTTGTTGGTGATGGTGTAAGAAATTATTTAAGCTGATTCGGATTACTATTGATGTTAGCTCTATTGAGTTTTGCTGGGTTGTCATGAGTTTGTTTCTATTTGTTTCCATACGAAACTTTACTCGAATCCTTTTTGGTAGTTCATTGTGGCTAGTTTCCCTATCCCATACATAAGCTCTTTGGGGCTGTGGGGTTTGAAGCAAAAGGGGCATGAAATATACCAAATATAAGAGTTTTGAAAATATGTGTTTGGTATGAAGTAGACGAAATGCAGTATAAAATTCTAAAATATTTAGAATTTACCATCTGGTCCAATTTTGGTGTATTTGAAACTTGTTAAATTTTGCCAGATTTCCAAATACATTGTACATTCTCTATAATTGCGGTCGTCAATGCCATCCGTTGTTGATTTCCATTGTCACCACTTCCAACCGCCGCAATTGTTGGCAACCGCCCGCCACCATCAACTACAATTGCCACCTGCCTACCCCCCTACAGTGTATCACTATTGGTTGTTGCCTAATGCTGATAATCACCGTCCTTGCCACCACAACTATAACCCGCCAGCCATCGACAACCATCTTTATTGAGCTTTACACTGTATTCATTTTACTCTAAGCCAAACAAAAAAAAAATAATTATCTATATTTATTCTACACTTATCTAAATAATTCCAAATATTTCAAATACACTGTACTTTTTTTTTATAGTGTATTCCATTTTACTCTACATTACTTTTTCATCTAATCAAACGACCTTAGTTAAATATAATTCATGCGGAGTCGATTTCTGTTTTGTGAATTGAATTCTCAAAACCTTTTTCCTGAAAGGATGATATTATCGGAATCCGCCATTTTTATTCTGAATAGTTTAATCCGGCTTAATACTGAGGAAAACTAAACCTTGTATGCAAAGAGTATTACTAATAAGTTGATATTCTTTAAACTTTGACGACTTCATGATATTAAAGGATATGCTTTTTTCATTGAATATAGGATCCGTTATTATGACGCTTGTAATTTTGGTCAGGTATCATAAAATTCTTTTTTTTTTTCTTTAATTAGGTTCGTGGTTCCATTCCACTTCTCTGGGAGCAGATTGTAGACTTGAGCTACAAACCAAGACTTCAGATAATTGGGCATGAAGAAACAGTGAGACTGCAATTCCATTCTTGCATATCAATTAACAAGCATAGCTTCGTATGCAGAAGATATGCCCCTTAATGTAATAAACCTGGTGCTTTCAGGCCAAGGTTGTTGAGCGTCATTTTAATGATCTTATACAACGATATGGAACTATAATAGTACTTGATCTGACAGATAAGGTAAGCATCCTTTCAAAAATCTACAGACTTTAATTAGTTTTTTCTATTTGAATCTCATTTTTGCTGTATTTTATATTAAATTTAACATTTCATAATATTTTTTCCCTGCATTTTTCAATTCATTGTACGTGGCTGGCTTCTTTCATGAAAATAAAATGCTTATTCTATATAACTAACAATGTCTAAAATTTAATATACAATCTTTTAGGATACGGATGACTTGAAATTCTTTTTAGTTGTTACTTATTTGAAGGTTGTTAATGTGTGAGCGCTCAATCAAATAAAATTAGAATGAACCTTTTTTGTTGGAATAGTTCTTCTTTTCTTGGCTAATAAGTAATTTTTATATTTTTTTCCTATAAGCTGATGGCCTTATAATTATTGGCATGCTCACCGCCCACTTTTTTATTTTTCTTTTTCATCTCTCACCTAAGCAGGTGAGCACAATCCATGTGATGCAGGACTATGCAACTGAAATGCAAGTTAACTTAAAAAGGATTTGCACAACTTGTGATTAGAATAATTCAGGAACAAAATTACTAGTGGATTCAAACAATGATTCAAAACAATTAGGAGTTATCTTCTTAGGTTTAAATCACATGCTAAGAACTTTGAAACTTCCAAAATAAATAGAACAACAACACAACACGTAGTAGTAGTTTCCAAGTTAATCCCTAGTCTAACAATGAGAATTAGGATGCATTGAAGTGCACTCAAATCCTACGATTACTAAGCTTAAGCAAGAGCAATGTGGTAGAGTTCGCCGTGACTGCAATTAAACCAGGAGAGTTTAGACTAAAAGATATACGATGTTCGGGAGAGGAGAAACCTTCGTCAAGGGTTGGTGGAGATCCTCCGCTCGACGCCTTCAAAGTGTTCGTCAATGGCTTCCACCAAGGCAAATAGGATGCGCTCCACGTAGTCTTCGACGGTGTGATCTATCCTCGAGTTCACGTCGAAGAAAGTGGATCGTAGGATGTCGGTGAAGCCGTCTTCGTCCCAAGTTATGCCGTACTCAGTTTCCGAATCCGTCATGCATGGGAGCTAGGTGATTAAAACTCCTCACACTTGATAATGCTCTTGAAAATGGAGGTGTTCAAATTAATTCCAATTTGAATGGGCTTTATTTGGGAATCAATTAAACAATAAACTTATGCAGGGTCGGCTAAGAGAGGTGGCTGAAATATGAAGAAAATTTCCAAGTGAAGCTAAACAGGAATTAGGAAATAATTCCAAAACCTTCTCTATAGGGGCCGGCGGCATGAAGGGGCATGGGAGATATTTAATGAGAGCATTTAAGGCTTCTTAATTTGGTTTAAAGAATTAGGAAAGTAAATAATCTAATCCAATTTAAATTTCAAATTCAAACGGATTTAAATTAGAAACTTTCCTAAAATAGACCTTCTAAACTAGGAAAGGATTTGAAATTTAGATTTGATTAATTCCAAATTCAAATCAATTCCTAAATTAGTTCCCAACCAAAATAGGAAATCTCAAGGAGGTGGGGAGAGACACTAGAGCCGGTGGCATGAGAGCTTGGCCGGCGGTTTAGGGGAAATCCGTGCGTGACTTGATGACGGGGCTCGGGTAGGAGGTGAGGCCGTGGGTGTTGAATGGGGAAGGAGAGGGGTTTTCGGGTGAGGTGGTGTGGAGGTTGTATGGTGGCCGACGGCTTGATGGGATGGAATGAAATTGTAGAGCTTGGTTAGGGGAAGATGTTGCTTGAGGGGATGAAGGAGGGACTCACGAGCAATACAAATAAAATAACGAACCACGAACCCGGCCATCTTGGTGGGTAATCCGATCTCCCTGTCCTAGGGATCTCTCCAAAGTTCTCTCCAAGAACTCTCAAACGCTCTTACAACACAAGAGTAGGAAAATATCATAATAATCATTCCTTCCTCTAAAGAAAAATAACGAGGGCTACATAAAGCCTCATACAAAGGACTCAAAACAAAAAAGACACAAATGCCCTTTGGGCTTACACATGACAACCTTTCATAAGAGGGTACAACGGGGAAATAAAATGACACCTAAGCAGATAAGAAAATACATGAATAATAAAATAATACAAATGACTCGTAAATATAAAGACTCGATCGTGGCCGTAGACTGGCGGCCACGTCTTTTATAAACCTTCCACGATCTGATGTCCCCATCACCACGGTTACTTCTTTCGTGTTCTTAATGGACGATCTTGAATGATTAAGAGCTTTTGTAGATGAATATTTTTAATAGCATAAAAATAACAGCTTGAGTTGAAATAACCTTGTTTTTAAAATATCATCGAATAGGGGCTATTTTATTTTCACCAAATTGTACATGACTCGATATTTATTTTTGAGAAATACTGTTGTCGGCATAGGCAGTGGTGGGTGTTGCGTGGTGTGCAAAGTTCCTGGTAGACTCTTTGTTGATCTTTTTGATGGCCTTTTCAAACTATCTATTTGAGATTTTCTTGATTTTCTATGTTTAACATCTATGAGACATGCATATTTTTTCATATGAGAAGATCACTCACGTGAGTGATGACTATAGGGCAATTTATCAAAGCAACAAGTCCTGATATCCAGATAGTGTCCTACTTTACTTGTGAATTTCTATACAAGTTTAAAAATGAGATCTTAGCGAAATCATAAGGAGTTTTAAAAAACTGAACTTCTGAAAAAATTATGTCGACTGGGGTAATTCTGTTGTTTGATCATGTGGCAATTTTTAATTTATTAAACTTTTCTATCCTAGGAGAGCACTTATTAGCAAATCTGAAATATATTTAATATGCTTTCAACTTTTTTTTTAAAATGCTGAAGACGCTTGTTCAAATTCTGCTTTCATAGAAATATTAGTATATCAAGAGGTAACTTCAAAATCCATACAAAATTTAATATTCCATCATCTCTCCCGTTATTTCTGTGCAGTAACATAAACTCTTAATTCACTGATAATTATCAACTGTTCACATATTCTTTATCCTTTAATAGATCTGCTAAATTATTTTCTTCGCCAATCCTTTAACTTCTTTTTTGTTTTATGATTTCATTAAACTTATTTTCTAACCAAACTACTCGAATATCTTTAAAAATTCACCAATAGATAATTCCTATGGACCTAAAATTTTACTTTCATGCATATTTTTAAGAGCTAACTTATCTTCATTTTTCCAGATTAATGTATGTTATATTTAATGATTTTGTTAATGTGATCTTTGAAAAGATATTTTCCTTAAACACTCATTTAGTAATTTATTAAAACAATATTTTAATAAATTCTTCCTTAATTAGTAAATCTAATTTGATTCAAGTCTCTAAAGCTCCTATCTTTTGTCATAATTATTTTATGAATCTTCTTTTCTATTTCCTCAGTGTTTAGCATATTATAGAAATCCTTGAAAGTTCATAGTTTTTTCTTTGCTTCCTATAATCTTAAAAATCCTTCTGGCTGATTTATAATTATTAGAAGCTCCAAAAGCATTAATTCAATTAAATTCAAATTTCTGTCTTAGTAGCTTTGTGCATCTCCTTCACCTTTAGGTCTTGATATATAAAATATTTTTCTAGAATCTTCTGATACTCTTTTATGAGCTTCTTGATGCAACTATTTATCTTATCTTATATACCATGGGATTCCAATTTATCTCTCTTAACGAATATTTAAAATACTTATAAATTCTCTCCTGTATGCTCCACGATCTTATCCTATGCAGTTATATATTCTGATTGATTTTCTTAGTTCTTATAAGGTATCAAAACTTGACTGACAATGTATGTTTAGTGTTCAAATGTTTTTTTGAATCACCTTATAATCTTTATTATCTTATAACTCCACTTTTGAAAGTAACTAATATCCCTTTTCATTTTTTAGTATACTTGTTCAATATTGTAAGATCATATACTATTGCAAAATCGAGTGTAACTTCTTCTATCACATGCCTTTCCCATTATTTTAGAAAGTCCATAAATTCTCTTGTAATCATCTTGTTGAAAAATCTAATTGCAAAGTCAAGTTGAAAAATATGCTCCAGTGATGGAATTAGGTGAATTGCCATCTATCTTTTGATATCAACTTTTCAACAATACATAAACCTATAAAGTAGTTTTAGCATCTTTAATGATCTCAAAATACAACAACAATTCTTCAAATTTGCATGTATTCAGTAAGAAATTCAGCCCCTTAAATGAATTAAATTCATCAAATGAGCAATAAAGGTGTGACAAAAAGATATTTTCTTATAAAAGTTAATTAAACCTGCAGCCCTTGTGGTTGCGTGTTCTATTCCTAACATTTTCTTTATCTTTTCACGCTATCCTAATAAATTTTAGTCTCCCTGATTACTTTCTTTCTGTTTTTTTTTTTTTTTTTTTTTTTTTTTTTGTTTTTGTGAACTTCATTTGTCACTCCTTAGACATGATTTGCCATTTAAATAAGTTATCTAAATCTAAAACTAGCCAGTAAACATTTTAGGTCAATTACTATCATAGGTTGACACTTCAACATAAATTTTCTTGTTATGTCATCGTGTATATCAAAATTTTGATGTTTGTGATTTTTAAAAGCATCATTGTTAAATATTTTGAATTGTCTATCAAGATGATTTTCTTGTCTCTAATCAGGAATGGATGGAATCATCATTATGATTGGAATCAACTTCAGATTTGCATGTATTAACTTGCCAATTCGTGCTTTAACCAAATTAATATCATCCCACAATTGATTTTGTTTATTTAAGAATTGATTTTGCGATGTTGTCATAATCACAGTCATTTAGAATATGTTATGTTACCCTGATAAATTAGCTCCGCTTCTGAGTAACATATTGCACAACCTAAAGCTCTGATACTTATTGGATGAGAATGGTTAGGGTTAGGGTTTCCTAATGTAATTAGAACGATGTCATGTATGTTTATCATGCAAGAGGACTTAGGATTTATATATCACAAAAAACTATAGGCTAATAAATAGAATAATTAGACCCCAATAATGATTGACTAAATCCAAAGAAATTAGTCGAAAATTTCAACTAGACAAATTCTTCGTTCAGTTGTAATTTAATCACCATAATTTGAATTTTAATTTTGCCAAAACTAACCAAATTAGGAATAATGGCAAGCCAATAATAAAATATGTAGAAATATTTAGGTCAAGTGAAAAATAAAAGTATAATAAGTTTTATTCAATTAAATTTGATAAATTCAAAATATCTACTCATAGATTTCTTGTCTGTAATTTAGAAGGATATGGTTGATACAGTATTAACCCAGTCTAATTTCAGATAACCATCATGACTTTAAACCTTATCCAAAAATAAAAAATTTAAATAACTTAATTACATAATTCTTCTGATATTCAGATGAGTAGGACTTGCATTTAATTCCCATGAATTTCCTTATAAGCAGCAACAAAACCTGTATCTCTTGCTATAGGCGTGACAATACAAACAGGCAGTGGTAAAATGAACAATAATATTAACCTCATACTATTATAGGAGCAGATGGTGAAAATCTTTTGTAAAAATACACGTACAGTGGAGTGGACTCCATAGTTTTGCATAAAACCATGTCTATGGTCTGGAAAATTATTTATTTCATTTTGAAATTCTGGGCTTTTTTTAAGAGGCAGCTTTTACATATCCTTTAATTTTAAATTATTCATGTTCAATTCTTTGATGTTCTTTCTTTTAATTTCACGTAGCATGGAGATGAGGGACAGCTAAGCTCTGCATTTGCCTCTGAAATGGAGAAACTTGCGCATGTGAGGTACCATTACTATTCAATTTTTTTTTATTTGAACGTCAAAACTGGTCTAAAATTGTTTGTTATTATATGTGCTTAGTTGTTTATTTGAATATAGTAGTTTGTTTGTGAAGGAGGGAAAGGGTTTATAGACCTTTTTTTGTTCACCTTATTTGTATTTTTTTGTTATTATGCCTATGTTATTTTTTGGCTGTGGATGATCGATCCCTAAGCTTCTTTTAGTTCATAGAAGGTATGTAAGTGGTTGTCGATTTACATTTTTAGATATGGTAGGATTTCTTTATTTATTGTTATTAAGAACTGTGCTTAGTTATCCAGTTGTTCTTTAATGTTTTGTCATAAAAAAGCTTCGTGTCCACACTTGATATTCATATAGATAAATTTGCATATGAAATTTTTTTTCCCCAAAGAAATTTACAATGAAGTCACCAACATGTCATTCCCTCTTTGTCCATAGCAATAGCAGTTAATTTTATTTCAATCCACATTTTTGTCTCATCCCTTAACATATCTTATTACTACACTGCTCAATGGTTAATGATAGGCATCCTAAAGATGATATAGATTTGCAAGACTTGAGATGTAGGACACATTGATCCACGATAATCTTTGGCTATTAAGCTTAATCTATGTATTTTGCTTATCTTTCCATTATGATACTGGATATGTCAGACATTATGTGATTGTCCATAAATATGCCATTAAAAGCTTGATCTCTTTCTATAAACAATGTGTCATTAGGTTTTATGAAGGAAGTAGAAATTTAGTGAATAATAGAATTTTGTCTCGTGCAAGATCCTCTCTCTCTCTCTCTCTCTCTCTCTCTCTCTCTCTCTCTCTCTCTCTCCCCCCCCTCCTCTAATCACTACCCTCTTACCGTTCTCATTTCTTTTTCAGATATTTTTTTTCTTCACATAAACTCTCCTTTTTCTTTTGCTCTACTTGTACTTCAAAGTTTGTAAGGGTCATTCTTAGAGCATGATTCTTCTTCCATCATGAATTTCTATGTTGATAACTTAGAAGAAGCTGGGTACTTGAGTTCCTCATATCTAATTAATTTTTTCTCAATATAAGCTTATGCTTATAGCTGAGGGGACCAACCTGCTACAAGTTTCGTAGAAGGTCACAACCTAGCTCCAAGTGGAAAGAGATTAAGGTCGAATTATTGATTAGACCCTCTTCTATGAGTTCTATGTATCGACAATATATCATAGTTTCAAATGCATACACTGGATTGTAAGCGAGATCTTATTCTAATTTTCTCTAGGGTTGAGAAATATGTATAGGCTTCAAAGTTGAGAGCTATATGTTGAGTGGTTGCTTGTAGAATCAGTAATGGCTATGTGGTAAGTCTATTGACAGAACGAAGCCTAATAAGAGATGATTAAACACCAATTAAAATTGCCTCTAGGATTGCAATTAAGTTTTGTTAAACATGTATAATACTTAATTGTAGACACAGATGACCAATAAATTTCAAGTGGTCTGGATGGAAGGTCACAACCATTATGTTTTCCTTGTTAATGTCAACAATTACGGGTTTGATGGAACTGATTGAAGAGGCAAAACTTGAATGGTGAAATATCAATTGTGAAAATGAGGTTGTGTGGACGTGTTGTGTTATGGTGCAGTGGTGAGCAAAAGCATTTACAAAGTGCAGTACGTGAGTGGTAGGTTGTGCAATGTAGCTATATGTGTCCATAGGTGCATGTGGCAATTGTTGACATTTGGACAAATGCAAGTGCATCTAGATGAAGACATTGGGTATATTTATTAGGCACAATTATATGCAATGTGTGTGTGTGTTCAAGCATGTGCATGTATCATGTGGTGCAAATGAGTGTGCTATGTTGTCCATGAGCGTGTGTGTATAGGGATGCTCACACATGCTCATGCAATTGCATGAAATGCTCGTCAGAACACGCAATAAGAATTGATGAATATTCAGTGGGTTGGGGGTTTATATCAACTAGAATAATCATGATATTTTATTAAAGTGAATAAATAAATTATGAAATTTTGTCAAACATTTGGCAAATATTGAACATCAAAACTTAAGTAAATAAAAAATAAAATGTAATGAAGTGGAGTGTGATTTGGTTTTTTTTTTTTTTCAATTAAAACTTGATTTGATTTCTCATGCTAAGACCGCTCACACTTGTCCTGTACTCCCTTTTTGACTTCTCGTGCATTTCGTTTGTTTGCCCCCTTCCATGTCCCATTAGCTTCTTAGCGTGAACCTCTCTGAGTCGATCCTATTCATTGAAATCTTAGTGTCGTAGGTTCATTGTTATTAATTTTCTTTGCCGACCATCTTAAAGCAATGCAAGCTCCTCTTTGTTGATCCTCTTCACATGAATGTCTCAAAACTCTTTTGTGTTTGTTTCTTCGCAGTAGGTTCACACTTTTCTAGCATAATGATATTGGTGTAGTTTAGTATCTCTACCTTTTTTTTTGTAGTAGCTTTGCAAGTTTATAACACTAGCTCTCTTCAACATCCATCCTGTAGCTATCCTAATGCTTGAGCTGCTTAGGTCCTTGCCTGTAATATACAGATCTTCCATCTCTTCCTTGCTCTAGTATAATGACTAATGCTAAATGCTCTAAACCTTTAGCTTTGCAAAATTAGTCCTTCCCTCGTTAGAAAATCTGAAATTAATATTCAGATTTTCCAAAAGCTCTTCCTCTTCACTTCCCTTACTAATTCCAAAGAGCAACTCCCTCCTATTCCTAGCCGAAATTCCCATCTTCTCCAAATCCCTCATAACTTCTCCTCCAACACAAATCCTTTCAAGGATCAAGTCCAACAAGCCGACGTCGCCTTCATGAATGGCCGATCCTGAAGTCGACCACTTATTTGCATACAACTCCCAAGGACAAATTGACATCCTTTAGTCACCCTTCTTTGATCCTGACTGGGAATTCGACGATTCAGTTGAAAGCTACGTAGATCGCATACTCTATCACATTGCCGAGACGATCGACGAGCAACGACCAACTGGGCAGTGGCAAATCATCGGACGACCATCAACTTCCCCTCCTCCAGCTACTTCTCCGGTGAACAATACCTTAAGCGTCACTTGTCTTGTGAGGGCATCACTAGGGTTACTTTTAATCTTTCTCTGCTAAAAACCACTTTCAAGAGCGAGAGTCAGGGAACTCAGGGTGAACATTTCTAATTGTTAACCTGTGGATTTTGTTATTCATTGCCGTTAGTTTTACTTATTTATTATGTTGTTATTTTCAAGCATCCTTTTAATCTCATTTGTAACCGTATGCGATTATATAACTTCTAATCAAAGATTCAAGAATCAAACTTGGTGAAACATAAGATTTACAATCGGCAAAGTTTTGTTCTAATTATTATTAATTTCACAAAGCAATTCATGTTTCCATACATGTTTCACATCACTTAGAATCAACCAAATACTAATCAAAATGATTCAAAATAAAAGAAGTGATGTGAAGGATTAGTTGGTATTACAAACTTGACATGTAAATTCGATATTAAAGGGTGGTTTTTTTGGGTATGAGGAGTTAGTGTGGAAGGGAGGGCTTTTTCCTTTGGGGGAAAATTGGTGGGTGATGTTGGTAGGAGTGATGGTTTGAGGATAGGTAGGTGAGCGGAGGGTTGAGAAAGGTAGGTTGGGTTAATAGATGTGGAGAGGATAATGGGATATGCTAGGTAAAATTTAGGTGAGGTTTTGGTTAAAATAGTTGTTAATTGGGTGGGTTGGGGTGAGATTGGTGAGATAGGCATTTTTTTGTGTAAGGCTAAAATAGTGAATTTGGCTTGGTGGTTTGAGGTTTAATGAAGAGATTAAGAGGGATTATGTTTAGAATTTGTAGGGGTAGACCAGATTTGTATTTTGGATGTTTTGGGAGAGATGGTTGTATTGGAGAGGTCAGTCAGATGGTTTTTGAGGGATTTGTGGTGTTAGGTAGAAGAAGATGGGGGTGAGGGGTGGTTATGGGTTGTTGGTCTTTGGTGGAGGTGAAGGTGCAAATCATTTGATTAGTTCAAGCATGAACCATGCTTTATCAATATGGTTTATCCAGGGGTTCTCAGAGATATGTCATATAAATGAATGGATGATTTAATCTATAACTATTTGCATAAAAATCATTTGACCTTAATCGTTCATGGTACTCATGCATCATATGTTCTTTGTTGTGATATTTTTCACTATTTTCTGCATGTCATGCGTTTTACATTAGGTGGTGTTGTCTCATCAAGCATAACAAGGGGAGTGCCATGACAGTTAAGTGAGCTGTCATCCCAAACAAGTGTAGTACAATTTTGTAGAATTTTTCTAGATATAAGGGAACTAAATTGTATGCAATCATATGTATAATTTTAAAATGAAAATGATGAGTACAAATTTAAAAAGTCAGGTAGGTGTATACAATGCATTAGACATGTTAAATGTTGATAGAATAAAGGTAATTAAGGAAATAACTAAGTTCAGTAATAGACAAAAAATGCCAAAAGAATAAAAACTAGTTACTATTAAGTAAAAAATTAGGGTTGTGAAATTTTTAATGGCTTCTAAGTTGAGAACTATATGTTGAGTGGTTGCTTGTAGAATCATTAATGACTATGGGGTAAATCTATTGACATAAGGAAGCCTTAAAAGAGATGATTAGACACCAATTAAAGTTGCCTCTAGGATTACAATTAAGCTTTGTTCAACATGTATAATACTTGATGGTAAACACAAATGACTCATAAAATTTCAAGTAGTTTGGATGGAAGGTCACAACCATTATGTTTATCTTGTTAATGTCAACAATTACGGGTTTGATGGACCTGACTGAAGAGGCAAAACTTGAATGGTGAAATATCAATTTGTGAAAAGGAGGTTGTGTGGATGTGTTGTGTTATGGTGCATTGCGGTGAGCAAAAGCATGTGCAAAGTGCAGTAAGTGAGTGGTAAGTTGTTCGATGTAGCTATATGTGTCCTGTGGGTGCATGTGGCAATTGTTGACATTTGGACAAAGGC